CCATTTTACATATTTAATTACCCTTGTTTGCTTATGAATATAATATATGACGTGTATTCAATCTACTTCGCTGAAATTAAATCAAACTTACCTATACCGTTGATTAAATTTTTTGATGGTTGCGATTGGTTAACAAAGTTAATACTAATTTCTTGGTTAACAAAAGAAGGGACCATGTATATATAGGCGAATGATCGTGTGAGAAGGGATGTTACGGTGAAAGGCGTAAAAAGAGATCTGAATCCTTGATCACTTTTAATCTCATGTCCACCCACGAATTGCATTTAGAAGGAAATTGATCTAGTGCATCTCGATGCATTCGTTAGTGTTTGACCTTCAATTATGATCGATCCATGGGTGGAGATATTTTCTTACCTTTCTCACCGTAACTCTCTTTCTCACCAGAACCCAACCCTATATATACACACATTTGCATGTATATGATACAAGTGGTATCATCTGTCTATTTACTTTCTTCCCTCACATGAATATAGTTACAACAAATTACTTGGTTTAGATCATCATATCTCTAAATTGGTTCAAAAAGATTAAAGAGACTGAGAAATTGATCAAAATAGCCAAAGGACTCCGCCTTGTTCACTTTTTAAGCCCACTTTCTTTAAATGTACCTCAAGTATTCAAGATTTCATAAGTGTCCACTTCGCAACTTGTGAAGTGTATTTTTGTATTAAAATATGATTTTAGTTGGTCGTTTCACAAGTCAACAAGGACATGTTGCAAATCGATCCTACTAGAATCATATTTAACTCAAAGAAAGTATATTTCACAAGTTTAAAAATGATATCGATTACATATTAAACAGTAATAATTAAAATGACGTGACAAAAGAAAAAAACAATTAAAGCTTACAACGCCACACCAGTTTTCCATGTCATCTTTATTAAAAAAAAAAAAAAAACTAAATTACAACATCGCCTTCCTCAACCCTCCAGCCATCGCCACCATGCTCCGACACTCGTTGCAATATGCAACCTAAATCTTTGAAACTTGATGAAATCATCCTAACCGCTTTCCTCTTTTTCTCTAAACTGACGAAAACCCTAATCCTACACCTTGATATTATCTTGTTCGACGCACTAGATTTGTATATTTCTTTTGGTTTAGGATCCTATACAACAAGATAAACCTTTCTTCTCGTCTACTATTCCCACTGCTAAATGAATCCATAAGGGACCGCAACCAACGACTCGAGTTCAAGTTTTGCTAAATTAGTAGGTTAGGATTTAGGATTTGAATCTACAGATTCAATATTGTACGTTTATTCTGTAGAAGACATTGTAAATAAATTATTACAAGGCTCTTTGTTATTTCCTCCGTGCTCTAATATCAATACATAAATGTGGTTCTTATTACATTTGTTTTTGATATAAATGCACAGGGGGAAATTCTTGGTTGATTTAATGAGCGACAAATATTTATTTCATTCTGGTTATACGCTTTGCGCTTTCAACGAACAAATATCCATGTTTTATATAAGGAATTGTTGTTTTCGTTCTTATGTCCTGTAAAGCTTGGAGATTTTTGAATTTGAGAATCGATGTACACTATTCATATGCAATCTGTGTGTTTGAGATTGAAGTTGAGCGACTCGCCTGGTGTTCATATGTGTTTTGGGTGTGCTTTAGCATGTGGATTGTCGAGGGTTTCTAGGTTGGTGTTAGAGAGGATAACCGGAGGGTTATGCTTCAAAGAGTAGTTAATTGATTGAACCGTAAGTGTTGGTTGAATTGCTCTTATCTAGGATCTAGATTTGAAGTTTTTACAGTGGCATTCTTCTATATCAGAATTTTTATGGATTTTAGTTTTTTCATATTAAAAGATAATTTTTTATACACTGGAATTTTATTAGTTAAATGTGAAAACTTTATGGGTAATTGTGAAAACTGATATGCCATGTCATAATTATTGACGTCAAAACCACAAGGGTGGTGCCTGATTGGTTTGAGCTTGACTCCAAAGGTCAAAAGTACTAGGAGGTCCAGGTTCAAATCCAAGGAGGAATAAAAATTCTCTTATGGCTACGGAGGTTCAAATGCAGTGACTCCGGGCTATCTGTAAAGCAGGTATCGCACTGGGATTAGTCGGCTTGCATAACGAGTTGGATATCCAGGTTAATTAAAAAAAATTATTGACGTCACATACCCTAGATCCATTTTTTTGATTTTATGAGTTGTAGTTGTGACCGGTATTTACAAATTATGAAAATATATCTATGTTATGTAATCATTAAAGTATGCATAAAATTTATTGTTATTCAGGCTGTTCATTTAAAATAGTTATCAAACAATTATATTTAATGTGTACTACATTATCCAGAACCTTTTAAATATTCTGACCATGACCATTTAACCATTCTGGTTCAAAGCATTCTACAATGGTCAAACAACACTTCAAATTCTATTTTAGAAATTGATTGCTCAAAATAAAAATTAGATCAAAATTAAATAAACATTAAATCAAAATTAATTTCGTTTTAGTGCAATTTCTCAAAGAGACGAAAAGACTGGTGAGTATAAATTAGTGTGGAGAAGATTGAACAAAGACCCTGCGAAAAGGGAAAAGAACCCCATAAGCACGCAATCGAGACCGATAGAAGGATTATTGAGCAACAATGGAGTTTGATCAAGTCATGTCTCACTGTATTTTCTTCCACATATATCTTTCGGAAATTTCTAGAAAAATCCATATAGGCGGTGAGCGAAGTTGTGTTCTACACTGCTGTTGCTGTCATTTCGAGGTCCGGAAACAGAACAAGGGTTCAGCATTTAATCAAGAACCACAGGTAAAATCGCGATCCATTCTAGAAATTATATATGTTTTGATGGTTATTTAATGGCTGTAAGTCGGATGATCGGAGACTTCTGGTTCTATTACGACCCTAAGGTAACTGTAATCAACCACAATCGTCAGTTTGACAATGTCCAGCGAAACCGAGACCATATCTTCACAAAGAAGTTGATTTGAGACCCATTAAAGTGAAAGCAATGATGGAAAATCGTTTAAAGTTACCATGCATGTGGATTTTAGTAAGAAATTGGTGGAAACATAGCTGGATTTTGTGTGTTCATGGAGTCGGGTCCAACCTAGATTGAAACCGGGTCAAGAGGATGACCCAGGAGAGATTAAAGTTTTTGGTTTTTCTTTTCACAATTTCGCCACGAAAGTTACTTTATTCGACTATGGCCACTGACTTTTAGATACATTTTTAAAGTTAAGCCAGTAAAATGTTGGAAATACATATGCAGTCCCTGAACTTGTTAGATAAATTGTAAATAGCCACGATACTTTGCGAGTTACATTTATGGAATGAGGACAAGGACTTGAATAGTGTGTGTTTACAAAGTGATATATAAAATATGGCTGAATTCTTATAAATAATAAATATCATAAAGCATCTAGTAAAAAACTAGTAAAACAACTTGTTAAACATTAAATACTGCTTATTAATACACAATCTTTTAAAATTCAAGGTTATAACGAACAACCGCATACGTACATTTTTAGAGCTCCAAGTTTGATTCCCAATTCTTAACAATTTCCTAGTCAGGGTAGGTCATCTAGGCTTATAAATAGTTTGGTTCATTTAGGTTTTTATTGATGCTGAGTTCTTATATTAAAGTTAGTTAAAGTCTCTCTTAACGGGTTTCTTGAGAGTATTCTTGATTATATCATGAATTTGGCCATTCAATCATATTGATCCGTCATCATAGACAATCAACACCAAGAGTCCCACTATGGGACTTATGCAATCACCAAACCATATATTTGTTGCAAATAAGCAATTGGTTATGAAATCAATTTTAATGCTACATTGAAATTAACAAACCAATTTTAAGTGCCACATCAGCTTAAGCTTAAGCAATTACTGTACACAAGGTTCTAAATGACGTGAGCCATATCGTGGCGAGGTCAAATCTCAAGCCCTACTAGTTATGGCGAGACCACGACATTCGCTAAGGTGTGCCCCAAGGCGGTATACACACACACACACACACACACTTAATTGTGTGTTTTGAATAATAATGTCAAAAAATTAAATTCATATAAAGTAACAAAAACTAAAAAAAGAAAGAAGAACCATTGATACTAAATATATAAAGCTTATAAAAAAGGATATTAAAACTGCAAAATTTGGATTAAATTTCTACTCACTACATTCTTCAATTTTCAAATAATTCGTGTTCGACTCTTCGTGTAGGGGAATGAGAGTAAGTACTTACCTATTTACGGTTTTAGCTTTTAAATTTCCTTTTTATGTGTATTTAAGTCTTACGTCTTGTACATAATTATCATTTATAACTCAAGTTATATATTAAAAAAATCTCACACCTTCAAAATAACGTGTCGTCATGTGCCATAACGCATTGTAACGAGCCATAATGAGTTACAATGCAAGTCAAGCCTTAGAGTGGAGTCACATGGGCTAACGTGGTGGCTAAGCCAAGTCTTGATGCCATAACGATTTATTTTTGAACCAGGACCGTACAATGATCAAACCAGTTTCATTAAGTGCCACTTGAGCATAAAAACGATATACTTTAACCTTATTTTAATCAAATATAACAAAAAATACTCCAATTAAATACTTGTTAGTATAATTTAATACCCAAATAATAATTTATTTGTACATAGGCCCCACTTGTTGTTAAATCAATAATCTCACTATTCATGAAATAATAAATTGGACGGCTAAATTTGAAGACCTATGTAAAATATTGTTCTAATGTTACTTATTTCTTCTTAAAGTCCACATCTCTTTGAAATGTCCTGATGTAACTTTTATTGTATTATATTAGAAAATCATTATTCTAATCTTACACGCTTTTGTTAGTTAATAATAATTTATTTGTAACACAATAATTGGTCCAATGTTACTAATTTATCCAAGTTAAAAAAAGAATGAAAACTTAGGGCATTTATTTGACATATCATTTTGTCTATTTTTCTGTTTCTTGATCAAAATCTTAATTGTTTTTTACTTTAAATGCTCTCCTTGGTGGTTCACTTTTTAAATTCTCTGATTGGTAGTTGGTGATCAGGGGTGAAGGCAAACCACTTAGTTGATGACAACTGGTAAATTGTATAAGTAGGAGACCAAAACCTCATTCCAACCCTCTTGCCATCCTCAGCACTCAGCAGATCTAATTCAATGGGTAACAGCTCAACGTTTAAGCTCACCAACTCTCCTGGAGATAATGCTACCAGCTATGAGGACTCTACTATCATGGTTTCTCCTGGGGCTAATGTTACCAACTATGTTGACTCCAGTATCATGGCTTCTCCTGGTACTTGCTATGATGTTTTTTTAAGCTTCAGAGGCGAAGATACTCGTGATTCTTTTACAGATCATCTCTATGATGCCTTAGAGCGAGCAGGACTTCTCACTTTTAGGGATAATGATGAAATCAGCAGAGGTCAAGAACTAAAGCCGGAAATTGAGAGAGCAATCAAAGCATCCAAGGCTTCAATAGTTGTCTTGTCAGAGAACTATGCAACTTCTACATGGTGTCTTGATGAGCTTTGGTTGATCCTCGAGCAAAGAAGGGAGTGCAATCATTTTGTTCTTCCAGTTTTTTATCATGTCGATCCCTCAAACGTCAGGAAACAAAATGGGACTTTCAAGATAGAAGTAGAAACATCTACAAGGTGGACATCTGATAACGTGAACCGGTGGAGGACAGCTCTTACAAAGGTTGCTGATTTGACAGGCTTCGTTCTTTCTGGGTATGTGTTTTCTTGTTGCTTATTTATATCATAAGGTTCAGTGAAATACATCTTAATTGATGTCATCTGATCTAACAATTTGATGGTTACTAGTGTTAATTTCTATGACCCGGTGATTTTCTGTGGATAAATGGCAGGGTGTGACGATGTTGCCTCGTAGGGTATATTATGCCTGCTAATAGGCAATGATGTTGATTATTTATGTCGAAGAATCCGATTAAAAATAGACGAAATGATGTAGTAAATATGATTAGGACTGCAAATATGTGATTGCTTTACTCGAATATGTAACGGGAAAAAAGGATAGAAAACACATTGATGGTTTTGTGCATTTAGTTGATTGCTTCTTGATGAATCTTCTACAAGTTTGACTTTAAACTGTGCTAAAAGAGTTTTTGATTTTTCTTTTTAGATAAAATCTCCTCACATATCTGTTTTAATTTCTCATTAACAAAACGAACGATTACCAAAGGGTCATTGGTCTAGCGGTATTCAGGTTAGCCTACCTTCCTAGAGGTCGAGGGTTCAAGCCTCACCAAAAGTGAGGAGTGTGTGTTAGTTTTGCCGTATGTAAAAATTTATATACTTCTAAAAACTCAATTACATTGTCCACTTGAGCAGAACTATTTACGCCTTTATCGCTAGGCTATATGGGCTCTGATTTACTTATTTCTTACAAGTCTATTAATATTTATTTTACTATGATTAAGTTTATATCTAAATGTGCCTTCACTCAAAAAACTTATATATCTTTGTAGCTTATTAATACTTTGGCCATATTTTAAATGAATTACGACTTTTTTGGAAAATTTAATAGTAATCAAATATTAACCTATATTAGATGTACTTTACATTTGGAATATCAATTTTTGTATAGAATCTCTTTGGTTTATCCAAGAATTCCTGAAATACACTAAACATGACTTGTGTTGTTACAGGCTTGAAACAAAGTTTTTGAAGGAAATTGTTGATACCATTTACAGTGAGCTAGATTGCAAAAAAGTTTATCTTCCACCCGATCTAACAGGGATCAACACTCGATATGAGGAGATCACTTCCTGGTTATATCAATCCGATCTCGAGTATTTAGCAATTTGCGGCATGGGAGGAAGTGGCAAAACCACATTGGCAAAGTACATTTACAATTCAAATTGGAGAAGGTTTGAGAATATGAGTTTCATTGAAGACATTGGTAGTAGATGTAAAGGACCCCATGGTTTGCTTGAGCTACAAGAACAACTTCTGAAAGATATTTTAGGGGGTAGGAAGAGAAAAATACCTAGTGTTTCTCATGGTACGTTTAAGATTGAGGAGGCATTACAAAAGAAAAGGGCGCTTATTGTTCTTGATGACATCTTGGAATATAGCGATTTAGTCGCTTTACTTGGAACTGGGAAGATTAACGCAGAAAGCAAGATAATAATAACTACAGAATATTCATATCGTTGGTCCAAGTTCTCTAGGTGTCAACAATATCAAATGAAGTTGTTGAATGAGGATGAATCATTAGAGCTTTTAAGTTGTCATGCCTTTGGATCCAAAATACCGCTAGAAGGTCTCAAGGAGCTTGCAGCACGAGCAGTAAGGTATTGTGAAGGAAATCCACTGGCTCTTGAAGTGTTGGGTTCCTCTCTATCCAATAGCAATACCATCCCATATTGGACAAGTCAATTGGAGGTATTGAAAAAGGATATTCATTCTCAAATTCAGGATGTACTTGAAAGGAGCTACAATTCATTGCCATATGACTCTGAGAAAGAGTTGTTTTTGCATATTGCTTGTTTTTTTATTGGCAAAGACATGGATTACGTGGTAAAGATATTGGAGCCTGATTACTCTGCAGTATCTGGGATCAAAACCCTAACCAACAGATTCCTTCTTTCGGTTTCATCTAGCAATAAGTTGATGATGCATCGATTGCTCCAAGAGATGGGAAGAAACATAGTGCGTAAAGAATCATTCAAGCTTCCTGAGAAACGTAGTCGAGTTTGGCATAATGCTGAGTCTTATAAGATACTGAAAAAAGGAAAGGTAAGATGCTTATTGTGTGTAGGCTTAAGCATACTTACCCTTTCACCCCCTCCTATTTCATCCAAGTTTTTATTGTTTCATCTTATTTCCTCTCAGGGTTCAAAAACAGTAGAAGGTCTTACACTTGACTTGAAAATGCTAAAGGAAGAGGACGAGACATTCAAGGTTAACTGCAAACCCTAGTCAAGTTTTCTCCAAATATTCAATGTTTTGAGAAACTTCTCTTAGCCTTCTTTGTGCAACTTTACAAGTATGATAGTTGTCCAGTTAAATTACAAGGAAAATGGTTACCTTTTGATTCACTATTTTCCTTTCTAAATTATTTTCTTGTCAGGTCTTCATTCCTTTTCAATATTATTCATTTACTTGTAACCCCAATCATAACAAGGCTTGGCCTTGAACATTCTAATGCATAAATAATCTTAGTGCATTTATTTTTATAGATGTGCGCTTGCTGACTGTCTTAATGATAAATCTGCAGTCATTAAACCTGAAGACCGATGCACTCAAAAATATGGATAGACTAAAATTGCTCCAGCTAAATTTTGTGGAACTCACCGGATATCATGAGAACCTTTCGGAGGATCTAAGATGGCTCTGTTGGTTTGGATTCCATTTAAGAACCATACCCTCCAACTTATTCATGGGAAACTTGGTGGCTGTAGATCTGAGCTATAGCAACTTGGAAGTATTTGAACCGCCTATGGTAGCGCTCTTTTTTGTTGCTTGTCCATTTAGCTTCTCAATTTTTAATGGTCTTAATGCAGACTTATAATGCTAAATAAATGATGTGACTTTCGCAACAGGTTCTTCAGTCACTACAGATTCTAAATCTTAAAGACTCTCACAATCTATTCGAAATCCGCAACATCTCCAGGATCCCCCATCTTGAGACTTTGATTCTTTGGAATTGTCGCAGTCTGGTTCGTGTTTGTGAAACCATTGGAGACCTTACGACTCTCGCTCTATTGAACATGACAGGGTGTAAAAACCTGTGCAAAAGGGAGCAAATAAATCTGTCAGAAGCTTCTACTTCTGGTGGAGTCATAGAACAAGCTACCTTTTGCTTCCCACATTCATTAAACCGGTTATTCCTCAAGGATTGCAATCTTGAGTGTACTGATTCTTTTCCTCTGAGTTTCAGTGTTCAACCATTTTTGCAGTACTTGAATTTAGGGAATGGTCGATTTGAGTCCCTGCCTTACTATGATCATCTTAAAAATCTTCGGGTCCTTGACTTGAGTTTATGCTCAAGACTTAAATGGCTTCTATGTCTGCCGAGCACACTTGCAGAGTTGTACGTATATTATTGTGAGTCACTGGAGAAAATAACTTTCCAATCAGCTCGATTCAAGTTGCATGAGTTCGGCTATGAAGGTTGTATTAATTTATCTGAAATTGAAGGCTTTCTCAAATTGGTACCAATAGCCAAACTGGATGAAACTGATTTGGGACATTTGAAGTGGCTAAAGAAATATCAAAGTCATGAGGTGCTCCTGGTTGGTGATGATGAGCTCACCATAGGCAGAAGTTGGCATCTCCAGGTTTGCTGTTACTCTCTCAAACACATATGCATCAGCACACATGAACATGTCGATACACCACCTGCAAACTGATCATTTATGAATTTGACTGAACTTTGTTGCTTGTATGGCACAGATGTTGTATGAATTCAATATAATGAGCACATCTCTGCCAGAAATAAAGGATTCAAACACAAAGCCTGAGTATATGTCAGAATCACCATCTTTGTTCTTTGATGTGCCTTCATGTCCCAAGAATAGGAGGCTCAAAGGACTAAATGTAACATTCAAATATACATTAGATGGTGATGATTGGGCATGGTTTGCTAAAATCAGTACGGCAAAAGGTGTTGACTTGATGTACAACCCCAAAGTCTTTGGTAATCCTGGATTTGTTGAAGTTGGTATATGGCTAAGCTATTGGCCAATTGGGAACACATTAGACGTTGGAGATAAAGTTAATGTGTCTATTGTTGTGCTGAGCGGATTGGTGGTAAGAGAGTGTGGTGCAAGCCTTGTGTATGCTGATGATGAAGAAGCGGATGAAACCTTGGAGAGAAACATGGGCTGGGTACAAACTCCTGGTGAGGATCTGTCTGGATTTCAGCTAAGCACGGGAGCATACTATCTTTGCCGCCGTGATTTCCTTGAGTTAATGGAGGTTGGGAGACTGACTCCCGGTTGGTTTAGGGTTTTAGTTGGTGATACAATTGACTATACCGGTATGTATTTCTTTGTCAAGATATTTTGGGCCTTTGTAATTGATTCAAGGATACAAGTAATGGAAGTTCCTATTGTCTCACATTGTTCTAGAGGTTCGAGGATGGAGAAAGACCGGTCGACCTAAGCAGTCGAATCCCTCATTTACAGAGTTGAAAACAGTTAGATGCATCATCGATGGTTCCGAATCGGTAAATATGCTTAGTATTATTTCTTTTCTGGCATGAACTTATTTCATGTATAAGATGAGGGCCTAAATATAACCCTATCTATCCAGAGATGAATGTTAGCGTTGTCATTTCCTTTGATATTAATGATTCTCAATTCTCCCCATTGGTACAAACTCAAGGAGGTTGTGTAATATGTCTATCATTCAAGTACAATTTATATCTTTCTCAAATCCCCTTTACCATTGTTTTTTGTGAATGATACTCTTAAGTTTGACAGAAATGTTTCATTTATCTTTTCTTTTTCAAGTATTACATGAGTTTACATAAGTGAAAAGATTAGCTAATCCCTTACAATTTAGTCTATCGTTTTGGTATTGCTAATATGGTTTTGATTGATGACATTATTGAGTTCTGCTGAACTGGCTCTGTCAAAACAGGAAGACGTTTACAAGATTGCTGAGATGTCTAAATCATCTTTGGTAGATAAAACTGTTGAGTCCACATCAAGCATACTCTGGGAGACAATTAAATCTGGGACTACATCTGAAATTAGTGATGCAACAACAGAGGTAACTGACTATTAAGTTTAATAGATAAAAGTAAGTGTTTAATGTTTCTTTATTTAGGAAATTAACTCTCTCCCTTTCACTCTCAAATTTACAACCAGAAACCTTAGTATGAAGCATCTGTTGCCAATCAAACATGAAGTTTACATAAGCTCATTCAGGGAGAAAATAGATTCTCTCATATCAAAATTTAGCAAAGTCACAACGTAGGTGATTTAACATTAAGCTTGGTAGATAAATGGAAGGAGTTTGATCTTTCCTCACATATAAGTGTGGCTCATTCTACAAGTAAATGGGCATAAGAAAGCTTCAAGTTCTTCTAATCTTCTTCTGAAATAACAACCCAATAAACCATGGAACTTCGCATCCAAATCAGACTTTCGTATTGAACATCTAAATGGTCTACAACAAGACATTTGGTCGAGCTTGACTATACTTTTCCATTCTGCTACTTGTTACATCCAATGCCATTAACGTTGTGGTCACTAGCTTTATGAGCAATTATCACTAAAACAAAGCTCATGTCCATCTAAAACAATAGACTTGTTGAATGCATTCGTTAGCAAAATGGAGAGAGAAGCAAAATGATTAATATTCTTTTACAAAAAAATGACTTTGGAAACCAATAATCTTTTACTTTGCTTATATCTTCTTCTCAAACTACAAGAAACTATTTTTATAAAACAATAGACTTATAGAATCTATTTGTTTTCTCATTTGTTGCCTCTCCTTTCATTTTGCTTGCTTATGTGGCATACCTGGTTGATTTTTCTTTCTTTAGAGAAAACGACAGAAAATTAATGAAGTTACACTTTACAACTTGTTTTCCCTTTGGTTGTTCTCTTTGTCTCATCTTGAAAACATAATTTTATATTGTTGCTCTTGGGATTCATTCAGGGGAAAAGTGACAGTTACAATCTAGAGACTACAGGCATGTCTAAAGCATCTGATTATCTTGAGATTATGGATACTGCTCCAATCCTGCCTAAGGAGGAATTCGAGTCGGCTGTAGAGAAATTTATGGCAGAAAGGAGCAAATTGATCTCCCCAATTCACAGACAAGGTGTAACAAAATTTGTGCATGTAAGTGTGCTTCACTAGGATGTCCAATGGTTTTACTTTCTCCTTAAAATTCAAAACGATTTGCAAACCACGTCTGATCAAGCTTACAAGTAGACTTCCCCCTTTTGCTAGTTCTTCTATTCGAAAGCAGGCAATGATGTAACCATCTTTTTTAGCCGTCTCTATGAAAAATGTGATTCTTAAAGATAGGGTTTTTTTATGTGTCTACAATGCCAATGTTGTAACAAAACAGAATAGCTGTCACGACGAACAAATGGTTTCTAGATACATAAGTTGCAGCCTCATAATTACGCTACATTTCTATCAATCTTCCTTTGTTAGTTCACATATTGTCTGAGCCATTGAATTTTAGACTATGCCAATGTTGTTAGAGAACAGAATATTGTCTGAGCCATGCCAGTGTTGTTAGAAAACGGAATATTGTCTGAGCCATGCCAGTTTTGTTAGAGAACAGAACAGTTGCAACCAAACAAACCACTCTTGTATTAGATCACATATTGTCCAAGCCATTGCTCGAATTTTAGACTATGCACTATGCACTAGGCAATAAAACTATATCCTCCGTCATGCTTTTCCAAATATTAAATTTCTAGCAAATAAGATAAATATCAAGAAGTCGACCTTCGACGGTAAGGACATGCAACACGACTTATATAAATACTTGACTACTCATTGGTGTCCTTGATTAGTGTAAAATGGGCCTTTTTAGGAGCACTGTTGAGGCACCTGAAGAATGTTAAATTGCATTGTATGAGAAGACATTATCTAACTTACCAACTTAAGAATGTTTAAAAAATTGATGTGTTTTAAAATAAGTAGTGTACAGGTATTGTAGCATACAAGTCGATCACATAATGATCTAACCAATCTGCTCATTATGAACTTGTTACCCAAATAGACTTTGATGGGATTTTCGACGATTTTAAGCAAAACTAAGAGTAAAGAAAGTAATAAGAAATAGGAGATAAAACCATCGACTCAAGTACACAAATTATTACAAAACGACACCTGATCTAGACTCTCTAAACTAAATGTGACTTCTGATCCACTAAGGTGAGGATTTGCCCAACGATCACTACTAAGACCCTCTCTTAAGGTGGCATTAGCCTTCCTAATTGAGCAAACCAACTACTTATGTGATAGCCAGCCTAAGTAAAAGCATTTAACAATGACAAAACTATTCCCAACACTCACTCTGATGCAATTCAATTAGGGATTGCAATCAAATTGACGGAATTGTAAGGATTTCTATTGAACTCACTCCTACGATTCGAGAGGTTGGGCTCTCCTTACACAGAATACCAAAAACATACCAGCCATCTAACCTTTCAATCTCTTTTATTTCTCTACAGCTACTCCCTAAACTGTTGTAACCACCAACGAACTGCCTCTACTTATACAAAAGACTTATTTATCCTTACTTTCTTCCTCTCCTGGAATACGTAATCCCAAATCTGTTTGCATCATACTCCTACCTGTTTTCATGGAAAAACAGAAGTCACCAACTATCGATTCTAAGTCGAAGTCTAACTCTCATTTTGTAGCACCCTATATTCTATGGATAGATTATGCGATAAATTCGGAGAGAGCCCGAGGAAGCCTGACATATGACAGACAGTGCTATAATACCATATAGAATTGTGTAAATCTCCTTGCCCTCGGAGTTGTCTGTTCCTCTCAATATATAATGCGAGTACAGGATCTTTACAAGATCATTATCATTTGGTAAACAAGATATAAATGTTACAGAATATCCACAAAACATATCCAAGATTATTTCTTATTTTATTAGGAACAATTGGTTCGTCTGCATCATGATTCATGACTATCAAGCATCTGTGTCTCTACAAGAATTTCATGAATATACTTCCTTTAGAAAAGAAGAATCCTTTTACAAGATTTAGTCACCTTAATACCCACAAAGTATTTTTGACTCTTCCTTGATCGTTGGTCTAAACTTCATTTTGTATAAAGGATTTGCGAGTTGCAGGTCGTGTTCATCATTTTTAGCAATAATTATTCCATCCACATAGAATACCAGTTTGTTCCTATTACGATCTACATAGAATACCAATATGATCCTCTTGTCATCTTGATAGAATACTAGGGATGTTCACTTTGTTTTCCATTCAAGTCTTGTATGGGTTAATTTGTCTGTTTGGGTAATTTTGTGAATCTGAGGGACAGTAGATCGATGGGTTTGAGGGAGGCAAAGAGAGAAGGTCGAACTATTTCTGGTATTAATTTGTTTGAGGTGGCATAATGGAGACAAGTGAGAGGTTGTTACTTATTCCATATAGCATTTTGGCTTAATGGCAACAATTAAGCTGTAAAAAACGCTCTTGTATGGCTGAGCGAATAGGCTGTCCAGGTCATTATACTCTTGAAGTTGTTAAACAACCCCTAAGAGCATCCACAATTGGAGGTTCTTATAAGCAAAAAGTGCAGTTCTTATATGTCACTACCATGGTTTATTCATTATTATATTTTGTTAGTTTTTTTTATATATTTTTGACTTGCATAGAAAAAATACACGGGACCCATAAAAAGGAGGTTTTTGTAAGCGACTATCATAGTGGAGTTTCATATAGGTTCTTAATTTATTGAGTTGACAATGAACCGTCAAAAAAAGTGCAAAAGAAAGGTTCTTATTAGGCACTCCATTGTGAAACAATCCTCTTACCATCATGTTGTCGGTAAAACACAAAGAAAGTACTTGACACTTCATCAGTGGAAGAAGATTGGTAATTCTCTTCAAATCCGATTCTTCAATCCTATATATTTCTTTGATAATTATAGTGCACATTTTCAGGTTGTGCAGAACGTGAACTTCCCTAGTGAAGCTAAAAAACGTCAGGTGATAAAGATGGTATATAAGCTTATAGGCATTGAGTCTGTTGCGGTTGATTCAGGAGGGAGGGCACTAGTCGTCGTCGGGAGAGTAGATGCTGATAAAGTATTATCTTGTGTGAAGCAGATTGCTAAAGATGCAAGTATCATATCTAATGAACACGAACACGAAGAACTAATAAACAGACTTATAGCTGAATACAATTTTGTATACTCGGACAAGCCTAGATCATGTTTCCTGATGTAAGATGGCGTTTGGACGTTCTGCAAACCAAATTAATGTAATTCAATGATACCATCTTACTGATTTTTAGATATTATTCTTTTAACAATCAAGAAATTGATATATTAATATCTTTGAAAAGGTTTAAGGGCCATGAATCTGAATGAAAATGGTTATTTAATTAGTGTTTTGAATTGATAATCTGGATCTTAAAGACAGATTAACTGACCGAATCGGCTCTAAATTTGTTCATCTTTGCTACTCCTGCTCCATAAAACTATAATTTGTGTTGTCGTATGAAATTGCAACATTTTCATTCCCCAAATGAAGTTTCTTCATCTGTCACTACAAATAAATCAACAGTCTCTCTCGACTATAACAGTCGTTATTGCCCTCGTCATGTTTCCCTTCGCTTGTTTTCTCAAATCTACACATCAATGAAGGTTTTTCGTATTCTTTTGGTTTGTTTGCATTAGAGTCCCACATCAGTTAAACTTGTACCCATTATTCTTTGCCTACGAGAAATTTGCCTATTTGTTTTTCCCTTATTTTATAAGGTGTTCAGATGTACCATAAACCTAAATAATGTTGTATGGTATTCAAGCTCGAAAATTAACGTTCTTATACTCAAACACCAAATCGTTAACAAAATAATTATCGTTATAAAGAATAAAATTCAATTTCGTGTTGAATCCAAACAGTGGCTTTTTAACTTTGAATGAACCTCAAAGTTAAGGAAGAGAATAAATTTACAAATGATATGATAAATCACCATTTTATGAATATACATATTGTTCCAGTATCCATTTCTCAGCTTATTTCCTTCCCTCCCTCCACATGAATGTATTTACAAAAATTACTCCATTTTTCATCATCATCATCAGACAAAATTACTCCATTTTCACCCTTCAAGATGGAATCTAAGATTCAGCAGCCCTTCTGCAGATATGCTCCTCCTTACTCTACCCCTCTGCACCACCACATGCGGCGGTGCCTCCGCCTGAAAACACACAATAACCACCGTCAAATTGTCTAGTGCCCCTCTCTTCATAGCTTCCTCCACCATCTCCTTGCAGCACCGCTTAACGTCGTTGTGCTCCTGCAACCGCCGCCTCACGAAATCCACCGCGTTCTGGTTCCTGAACACGTCCCAGATCCCATCGCTTCCGATGATCAAGAACTCGTCTTCTTTCGTTAGAGTGATGAGTTTGAGCTCCGGTTCAGCGCTCAACGGGCCAATGTGCTCGTCCATTTCTTTCAGCCCTTTGATGTGCCAGTTACCTATGGCTCGAGTCACGGCTAATTGGCCGTTCAAGTAGCCGTCTTCCACGAACCCACCTAAGGATTCAATCCGAAGTCTTTCTTTGTCATAGCATGGCCTATGGTCTTTTGACATCTCAAAAGCTAGTCCATGCCGAGAGAGTATCGCCCGACAGTCTCCAGCATTTGCCACGAGTAGAGACCTGTTAAATATAAGTAACTGTAAGCCATCTAACCGAACAAGGTTCAACTTTCTTCCAAGTATATAATATTTATATACGGCAAATACTCATGCACACTCCTCATCTTTGATAAGGTTTGAACCCTTGACCTCCTAGGAGACTGGGCTCCACTTGTAACTCGGGTACTGTCAGGCCAATGAACCTTTGGTAACGAAGTTCAAATTTTTTGTACTAATCTATGATATAGGTCGACAAGAGGGCTATTTAACTAAATCACCTCCAATGGAAGTCATTTTACATACCAACCCTTCTAACGTATTTTCAAAATTTTATGACGGCATATTGTTTGATACTAGTTTATCAGCTAACAGCTACCTTATCAGCCAAACACCAACTTATCTGCTTAAGTCGGCTAGTTTGCCAAATATAGCCTTAAAAAGGTCACCTTCCCAATTGAAACCCTGTTTACAGGTCATTTAACTGAAATGACTGTCCACAAGATTCCTCTATTTTGCATTAACGGAATTCATTTCCATCATTAGCTCAATAATCAACCATCTCCCGGTTAACTATATATGAACCACACTCACTAACCGCCCAAGCCCCTTTAGAAGGGCAAAAACTCGATCAAATAGAAACGAAATATCGAAAAGATAAACGGAAAACACGAGCCACTGACCTCCCAAAGATCATAGCAGTAAGTGCAGTTGTGCCGGAAGAAAGAGCCGATTCAAGAGCACATGACCTGGCAAAAGCGGCATCTGTCTCCATAAACGACCTCGTGACTACTTTTTCAAGTTCCAATGGGAAATTAGCATCATCGACGATGATCCTTGGCAAATTATCGCGCACGAAATGTGATGCACCCTTTCCTCCATGCCCATCAAACACCTATTTTTCAAACAGAAACCGACTTCAAGTTCTAAGACATCTTAAAACAGGGAAACATAAAGTTCTTGTTTATCTAAATCCAAAAAGAAACTTACCCCATAAAACGATACTGCTTCTTCACCAAGAAGTTTATTACTGAAGTTCTTAGCTAAATCCGGAATGCAAATGTGAGTATCCTCCATATACGGCCGATGCCCGATATCAGACCACTCTCCAGAACGAAGCATGGGGGTGAAATTACTCACTTTCTCATCCGCAACAACTGCATCCTCACAAATACTCTCCATCTAATGAAAATGAGATAAGATTAGCGAAGCTAATCTTCGATTATAAGTTTCTTTATCAAGAAATCTGTAGACTTTTAGGCTATAGAGTTCAAACTGCAAAGATCGTGTGAAAACCCAAAATGGTGTTTATGGAGTTCAACAATTTGCTTAAATCCACGATCTTTTCTAGGATTCTTATTATATCTCGTGAAATTCTTAATAGCATACTGATCGTAGGAAGATTCAAGATTGTTCCTACTATAAGAAGAAAACCAGATAGTGAATGGATAAGACTGGAAAAACCATCAAAGAATCCAACTTTACTATTTATAACCATGATGGATCTATTTCAATCAAATTCAATGAATCCATGCTTCATGTTCAACAATAATGTCATCACATTTGGCAGCCAAAAGCGAAGTGTACCATTTTAGAACGACAAAGTACACAAAAATTTATTAATCATAACTACAAAAAGAAAGAAAAATAGTGATGTTCATACCAAGTTCATTGAATAACAGAACAAGGGTTATTTAGCTAAATGACCTCCTAACAAGTGTTTTATAAATCTATGATCTTGTAACAGGTCATTACGCATCCTTAGGTATGGTAGTTGCATTCTTTTTGTTAAACAGTGGCATACACAAAGTTCAGAAGATTATAGGACTTAAAAGACATCAAAGGACCATCCCACATCACACATTTCAAGACAATCTTCCTAGGATACATCAACATAAAACATCTGCTCTACTATCTGGGGTAGAGGACAGGTCTGCAATCATTCCACCCGAAAGACCCTACTTCTGAGTGGAACATACCGTACCGAGTGTGTTTGATTTGGTTTTCGTACGGAGTGTGATTTACAATATAAACCAAACTATGACTTAAAAGAACAGCAATTACTGTTAACATAGGTCATTATACATCCTAACAGTACTAGCCACCATATAAAGATAAATTCAACCTATTGAAAAAGGCCAAGTCCAAAGAAGGGAATTTCTTGAATAAACCCAATGGCAACTACATCAAAGTCATAAAAGAACCAAATACACACACATATTTGATATATTCAATAATCAAACTCACTTCAATTCAATTCAACAATCCCAAATTGAACCAAACAAACCTTTTGAAATTTTACAAGATCATTAAAAGAAGATGGTTAGTTTTATCTCTTATTTCCAAATTTGCCCAATTCCATCCAAAACAAACCACTGGCAATATTGACAGAATTCATCCAAAAAGGGAAATTTTCTCAAACTATCTTGCAATCAAAATAACTTCAACCAAATCAAGAATCAAACTTTCAATTTAAAAGCTTCAATTAGTTCTAGAAAGAATAGCAAAAAGAAAACCTAATATGAAAGATCAGAATAAACTGTCACAAACCACAAGAACAGAAGCTTAACAACTCATAAAAGATGAACAATAATAAGAAGAAACAAAAAACCCAGTTCGAATTATGAAATATATGCAAAACAAGAAGGAACCCATGAAGAAATTGGAGCTAAATTGAAGGTAATTTTAGACTGTAAAACAACAAAATCAAGAAGGTAATGATGCTTATTTACTTACCGGATAAGAATTGGAAAGAGTGATCTGATCTGAAGCAAGCTGAGTGGTGTTATGGTCTGTTGAAAGACCAAGATTATCCTTCTCCTCGCAAACCTTGTCTACGTCTTGTACACACATATTAATGGATGGATTTGGTTTCAGTTTCAAAGCAGATTTTTTCTCTCTCACACAGAAACACCGAAAACACACAGGAAGAAAGAGAGAATCAGAAAAGGGAAACTTATTGGATTAAAGGAAAAGGAAAAAGATTAATCAAAAAGCTCTGTTAAGAAAGAATCAGAAAAAGGGGGAAATTAATTGGTACAAAAGAAGAAGATTCCAAGAATATATGTTGATTATACTTTGTTTGGGGCGTGTGGGAAGAGATGCAAATAATGGCGTTTCTGGAAATTCTTATACTGTGTGTGTTTTTTATGACGTCTGTGGGTGTTGCTTGTGCGTGAGAAAGATGGATGGAAAAGCTTCCAGATGATTCCAGCGGATATAAATCTTGAAATTCTGGGGAAGAATGGATAGGAAACTCGCACACCCTTCAACCTTGGTATAATTTAATCGTCAGATAATGTAATCGTAGACTCGAAAATATGTGATTATCGATGAATAAATAAAAATAACCGAAATTCAGGGTATTTTCATTTTTTTTAACCAACCATGTGATTCACGAATACGAAAAAATCAATCATCATATTTTAAATATTGTAATTATATATATACATATATGATATATATCTATTAAAAAAATATAGTATACATATATCTATACTATATTATAAAACATTTGATAAAAACTCTTAAAAACTATTTTTTATGTATGAAGTACTGTTTATTGATGCATATTACTTAAAATTTAAGATTACAAGTAAATTGTGTATACGTACAACTTATTAAAGCTCTATATTTGTATTCGTGTAACTAACTGTAGATAAACATAATCAAATATTGGATAAACATCTAATTTTAAAAATAAAAAAATCTAAAATATAATTCGGATAATCATAGAGTTCTAACAGAATATTTAGTTATTATCTTTTTAAAAAAATATATTATTAAACCTAAAATAAATTTCTTTGTTACTAAATCTAAATTAAATTATAATTAAAAAATTTAATTAAGAAAATTATACCAAAACACAAGAACTTTTAAAAAGATTAATTTGATATTGATATGGATATTTATTTTAATAAATTTATGATATTTTTAGATTTATATTTTATTCAAAGATAAAAACATTATCGCATTCTTAGAAGCACAAAAAAAACGTATTATATCGACATAAAAAATGAATAAAACAAAACACCAAAATCATGATGTGTCTCGATGCATTGCACGAGTACCCTTGTAATGTGTGTGTGTGTATATATATATATATATATATATATATATAAAGTTATCATAAATTTATATGAATTAGGAGATGATCATTTGTGGGTGTGGGCCGAGTTTTACTTTTTTTTCCTCAACGAGCCTAATATATTATAAATTCAAATCTTCTTTTCGGGCTTGATAACTTGTCATTGTCCGCCCTATAAACGGGTCGGGCTTGCCCACGGGCTAACGGGCCTAAAAATTTGTAACTCTTATAAATCTATAAACTTGATCATTAACAATTAATTAACAAATGTGGAACAAAAAAATAAAGAAAAAATATTGTTGCAATTAAAATTTTAAGCAATTAGAGTGACCAATGGATCTCAACAAGTGAAGAAAGAAATGAAAAACAAAATTCAGAATTTCATAAAAGTAATAATGCATTTTCATGACTCTATCATGTTGCTGCCAATTTCAAACATCCCAAGTTTTGATCAAAAAAAAAAATAAAGAGTCTCAACTCTCGTCTTATAACATATAACTTTAAAATATATTAGTATAATACTATAATTTTAATTAATGGTAAAAAAATACTAATTATAAAACAAAAACAGGTCGGGCAGGCCTGTCCATATTTATTTTTACATTGTTCATGTCCGCCCGTTAATTTTAACGAACAAACCCGGACCCGCCCATTTTCTCGATAATGGTTGTCCAAGCCTGTATTTTTAGTGAGCCGGATGGGTCGGGTCTAACAAGTCATCCCGTCCATGAACAACTCTATGAGTTACGTGTATTAATAATAGTTGTAATATTGATTGTGTACTTCTTTCTCTGTATATAGACTCAAAAATAAATGAAGCTAAGCCGTATATTTAGCAATTTGATTATTTTCTTTAACCATAATATATGATATTTAAATGATCATCCATATACAACCAAAGGGGTTGTTAATGGGTATTATCAGTAATGGCCTTCGCTCTGCGATCGAATCAGATTTATAGGTATTTGATAAGCTCTTAATCAACTTCTGACCGAATAATATTTATCAGAATCCACCTCTCTTTCCTTGTTTAAAACTAACCCATAAACGGTTAACCATTTTCCCATGTTTAAATTATCTAACCCCCCCCCCCCCTTTTTATAACAGATAGACATGACGCAAAATAAAAATCAGTAACTTCCAAATTAAATCAAATCTTAAACCGCTAAATCATGTTCTTGGTGTGATATGTGGGCACCCAACATTAATTACTTTGGTGGGCTATCGTCATAGGTAGGATGTGGCACTTTCCTGATCTCTGATATTTATCTCACGTTTTTTTATGTGATATTTTGGTTAAATTTAAATATTTTTATTTATTTATTATATTGGTATAATCATAAAATGTTTAACTTATTATTAACTTATTATATAGCAAGTAATTCACATGTGAATGGGTATTTTTAATGCTTTATAATGCATACATATAAACTGTTTTTTGAAATCCTGTTCTCTTTTAATGCATTACGGATTACCTGGTTGGAGGAGAATAGATGGTTCAAATTATGTGCATTTATAGTGTTTTACAGTCACTGGATGTCTAAGTAACTGGAATTTATGCCAATCGTATTTGTATTGAACTTATATTCATCAACCAGTTGTCTTCTTGGTTATGGATTTTTTTTTGTGTATTTATTGATTTCGGTCTTGTATTGTCCAAAAAAAAACTACATCGTTGCTGCTTTTAAAGAGGTAGTTAGTGGATACTTTTATTTCTGATGTAATTATATAAGATTACTGAGTTGTTCAACATCCCTACACGATTAGGTTTGGGTAGTAGGTTTCAAGTAGTAGGTTCATGTTTATAGCCTTTTTTAATACAATCAGATGTTTTTTTGTGGCAGTAATTCTATGAATGTCCATTTCCAGATAAACGAAACTCAATTAGACAGTGTCGTTATATGGTTTAGGAATAAGGTTCGAAGAAAATAAAATGTATTCATTAGACGGATCTATATATTGTCGAGGGGGGTCACATGCCACCTCTAAATTGTCCCGACATACTAGAAAAGTACGACTCTAAAAAAATATCACCATTATGATTTGAATTTTGATGCGTGCCATAACAGAGCATTGTCGTCGAAAAATTGGAATGTTTAAATAGCGTACCAGAACTTCAATTTGAGTTTCGGTGATTAACAATGATAGAACATAAAAACACAAACTATAAATCGTCAATAAAAAATCTAATCTACTTGTGTTCTGCATCGTATTTTGTACCTATAATTAATTTTTATTTTAACAATAATTATCTTTGCATCATTTTATTTATTAACCTGGATATCCAACCCGCTATGCGAGTCGACTAATCTCAGGGCGACCACCTGCTTTGCAGATAACCCGGAGTCACCGTATTTGAACCTCCGTGACCACAAGAAGATTTTTATTCCTACTTGGATTTGAACCCTAGATCTCCTGGTATTTTTGACCATTGATGCCAAACTTAAACCAATCAGGTACCACCCTTGTTGAAATGAGAAATTGAATAAAAAAAACGCTAGAAGGAGGGGTTGAACCTCCGACCTTGTGGTTAACAGCCACACGCTCTAACCAACTGAGCTATTCCAGCTTTTGTTTTCCCTTTTAACAATTATTTTTATATTTTTTCCTTCGAAATTTCATAATCCAAGTTAAGTAAGTATTTATTTAATAAATCATGACTATTGATAATTAACGGGTCATTTGATTGGTTTTTCATTAAGTTTTGTATGAATAAAGTTATCTGTGTAGATTTATCTTTTTTGTATAGATTGTGAATGTTTTTGTTTTTGAGGATTTTTTTTCATAAATAGAAGGATCGTGTTTTATAATATGTTGTATTTTTTAGGAGATTAAAAGGTATTTGATTTAGTGGTATTCAAACTTTACAAAAAAAGTAAAAAAAAGTTTATATAAATATTATATAATTTTAAAAATAAGCAAAAAAATATTTATATTTATATCTATACTATATTATAAGGCATCTCACAAAAACCCTTAAAAATCATTATTTATGCATCAAGTACTGTTTATTAATGCATATTACTTAAATTTTGAAATTACAAGTAAATTGTGCGTAAGTACAACTTATTAAAGTTCGATGTTTGAATTCGTATAACTAACTGCAGATAAACATAATCAAATAGAGGATAAACGTCTCATTTTAAAATATAAAAAATATAAAATATAATTAGAATAATTATCGAGTTCTAACAAAATAATTAATTATTATCTTTTTAAGAAAATTATATTATTAAACCAAATATAAATTACTTCATTATTGAACCTTAATTAAATTATAATAAAAAAATTGAATTAAAAAATTACACAAAAAATGAGGAATTTTAAATATTTAATTTTGATACTAATCTTGATATATTTTTGTCAAAATTTGATGATATCTTCAAAATTTTATTTTATTCAAAAATAAAACATCATCGTTTTTTTTAAATCACAAGACCATATTATAACATTGACTGAGATAAAAAATAAAATAAAATATTAAAATTAAAATATATTTTACTGTATTGTGGAAATATCCTTCTGATATGGAAAAATAAGTGGGATTTTATATTGGTAAAAATGCGCTGGGAAAAAACAAACAGAAATTGACTTCCAAGACACCATGATTGGCTGAGCATTTGCCACGCCACCCCCAATATATTTTGGTGCACTCCAAACACACAATTTTCTTTCCTTTTTGTCCAAAGATGGTGACATCCACCTTTCACTTTCCACCCTTTTTTCCAAACAAATTAAATCTGGTTTTCATTCAATATATTTAGTATTTACGAATATAATCATAATTGGTTTCAATTAATTCGTTTAATATGTTGTGGGTATCTGAATTTTGGGTATTATTTATAACGATTCACTGATTTGATATATACTGGTTTTACATGGGTATCTGGTATATACTGATGTGTACATATATGGGTATCTATGACTATGATAGGTATGTTGATAGAATACATAAAATTGGTTTGAGCAGTCTTTTGTTTTTATACCAGACAGTTAATCAATAATATAAGTATTTAGATTAACGTAACAGAGTTTAAATAAAAGGCCAAAACTTTGGTCAGTGTAAGTTAACAATTAGGTTACTTTTCTTTCACGACTATGAATTTAGAAATTCAAAAGTTGGATATTTTAATCGTTAGTC